AACTTCTGGTTCGTAACATTATTTGATTTGACCATTTTTATAAATGTAAAATACTTGCCAGACGGGAGTGCATAAAATTTTTCTTTTATCTGCTTCTTGCCAGATACAAAAGAAGTGATGCAAAGATATTCAATATTATTTTCTTGCATCGTCTCAATGTGATATTCATTGCAGCGAATATCTTTAAAACTAAGCAAATTTCTTTTCGATTTGCTAGAATAAAGTGTATCATCAATATATAATTTTGTATTATTTGGTAAAATAATACAAGCTCTTTCGGAGTCTTCAACGATATTCGACGCACCCGATATCGTGTTAACATTATTTTCAGCTAATATTAAGTCCAAAAAATATTGTCTTGAAGAATAGTATGTGTAGTTGCACTATCATTTAAGCAGCTATCTTGACTATCCATCATGAATCTATAAATATAACAAAATAAACAAAATTTAAAAAAAAAAACTTGAATTTAGATTTAAAGAAGTAAACATTATTTAATATCATGAAATAAATGGTGCATAATAGAGTTTTATTATTTTTTTTTTGTGCGGAAAAGTAAAAACATATTTCAGACTGAATTTTTAAAACGAAAGAAATAATAGTAAATTAATCTATATCTTCTATCACACCACCCCCAACCAAATGGTCAATATTTCCATTTGGATCAGTTAAGAAATCGGAGACATCCAAATGAGTCACATCAATTAGACCATCATAATCAGCAAAATTAGTCTCCAATTTTTCTTTTCCCCTGATTGATCTCTGGTAGAGATCCACAAAATGTTTTGAGGCACGACACGTACATGCTCAATGTCCTTTCATTCCACATCTGAAGCAACTTTTTTCATGCTCTTTTTTAGATTTGTCACTCTCGTTTACTTTGTGCCTTTTGAATTTATTGCTTTGTTGTTGATAACTTTGTTGATTATTTTTTTCATGATTTATTCCACGTACACGTCCGTGTCCGTGTCTACGTCCAAATTCGTGTCCACATCTACGTCCACGTCTGTGTCCAGGTCCTTGTCTTGATATTTTATTTACTTCAGACAATGTAGTACCATTTGCTTCAGGCAATGGTACAGAGCCAGTTGGACGTAATCCATGATTTTTCATCAACAACTCATTATTTTGTTCAACAACTAGTAGGTAAGATATAAGTTTTGAATACTTTTTGAAGTGACGCCCACGATATTGTTGTTGCAGGAGCACATTCGAGACATGAAAGGTGGAGAAAGTTTTTTCCAGCATATCTTCATCAGTGATTTTTTCTCCACACAAAGTCAACTTTGAACATATTCTGAACAATTCAGAATTGTATTCACTAACCATTTTAAAGTCTTGCAAACGAAGGTACATCCACTCATAACGGGCTTTGGGGAGGACTATAGTCCTCTGATGATCAAATCTTTCAGTGAACTTTTTTCAAAGAACTTGTGGATCTTACTCAGCGAGATATTCAATTTTTAATCCATCGTGAAGATGGTGACGCAGAAAAATGAGTGCTTTTACACGATCCCGCAGGGATTCATTGTTTCCTTCTTTTATTATCTCTCCCAAACCCTTTGAGACGAGATGGATATCAGCATCCAGTATCCATGACAGATAATTTTTACCAGATATGTCAAGTG